TTTTTTATGTGGTTGCGAGATCGGTCAAATCTACCGAACCCGTACAGAGATTAATTACTGAAAATAACAAATAAAATATAAAGTTGTTTCTTAAGAAATGTTTGATAACAATCTGGACATTATAAAGATTTTGCATATGAAATTTGAAAATTTTCTGATGCACGAAAGTATTTTTAATCTTAAAATGAATATTAGTTTGCATGACAGATAGGCAACATGAAAAAAAAGACAAGAAAAACTTTACATTACAAACCTTAAGACTTAATAAAAAATTATATATGAAAGCATTATAATGTTTACTGATAATCTGCCAAATTCACTAACATTTGCTTACTAATTTAAAAGTTATAGCATGAAAACTATAACAAGCATAAAATTGTTACGAGGTCAGTCCTAGGGAACTAGCCTGTGCTGAAAGAAAAATATGATGATTATACCATAAAATGAAAATGCACTGTTGAAAAGTCATAGTTAAAAACTTCTAAACTATTTAATATGTAATTGAAGTTTCCATCTTTAACCTACACAATAATATCTAGAAATTACTCTCACTTTTATGGCATGTAGAATATGACAATAAATCTTTGTTTGTATTTTAGAAATAAATGTCTGTTTTTATCTATTTCAATTGTTTATTGGAAATTATAGAAAAAACATTCAAGAAATTAATGTTAACAAGATAGATTGTTAGGTTATGGGACCAGTGAGATCATGTAAGTTTGGTATAATTGATAGAATTAGTAACTAAGGTAAGTAAGTTATATGTACATATTTACTTTATAGTTAAAATTCTGAGTGTGACTGCACAAAATTAGTGTGTTACCTTATTAGCAACTGTCCTTTCACAAGCTTTTTTCTGTGTTATAGTTTGATCACATACAAAATACTAGATTTGTCTGTTTAAGGTTATGGCCATTCATCATATCCTAGTTTCTAAGATGATGCAGTTTGAAGTTTGTTTCAAAGTTGTGGAATTTAATGTTATAATCAGCTTTGAATGTTCGAAACTAATATTGTTAAGTACATATGTTACACTTGAGCTACAAAAAACAGTTTTAGCTTTAGTTTCGAGATTGGGTGTTCCAAAGTTGGTATAAAAAGTTATATATGAGTAACTGAAATGCTTGTAGAAAAAGTTAAGAAGTATTGAGGGATTTGTATTTGTGGTGGTGATCTTAAATTCGTCTCATAGCAAGAAGCTTTACTGCTGCAAGAAACTACACATTTGGACCAACTAGAGCTTTTTATTGTTTGTCTATTGTATTCAGAAAATGTTTCATAAGTGCTTTGCTAGTTATATAATCTTATGTATACATGACAGACCTGAACTTGAGGTATTATTGTACATGTCTTTTTAGTGTTGACTTTAAGAGCCTCAGGTTTCCTTTATCTTCCTTTTTTGATTTTTAACACTTCTGTTATTCTTTTATCTTAATCCTAATCTTCAGAACCACAGATTTTCTTTTTGTATATCCTTGGTTTTTAACACTTTAGGTCTTCTTAGTTTTAAATCCTAATTTTCAGAACCACATATTTTCATCGTGTATACTCTTGGTTTTTAAAACTTCAGATCTTCTTGGTTTTAAATCCTGACCTTCAAGTTTACCTGATGCACTTCATTGTTAGAGCTTTTGTTACTGTGAGTAACAAAAAAATAATACAAATTTTTCAATTAAAATTAAACCTGAACATAAGGAAGATGATTATTTTAATGTTGTGTTCCAGGTGTTCCTGAAGCTAAAACTATTATAGAGTTGTTTCTGAGGGAGCAGGGAGGAACTCAGGCTCGGCAGATGTTGGCTAAGCAGCAGTTTCCTGAAGAAAACCCTACTGTTTGGGGTTCCTTGTTACCAATGTTAGTGGAGAATCTAGCCTGCCTTATGTATCCTTAAGAGTATAGTAACATATTACATTACCTAGGTATGTTCATGAATTGGTGTGACATAACATACAGTTTCTTTCTCAGACATAACTTCTAAGCAACTTGAGATTTTAGAAAGTAGGTATAAAAAATGTACTGATTTCACTAATATCAAAATCATATTCAAAAAGTATTTAATTACACACTTTTAAATAAGCTACTATGCTTTTATTGGTGATTTGTAATAAATTAGAAGGTTGTATGAAGAAAAAAAAATTATACAGGTATGATAAAGTTGTTTAGGTCTCTAAGCCCCACCATGTATTGGGTATAAAAGAAAATTTACAACATTATAAGATACATTTCTCACTTATTAACCTATAAAATGGACTTCTTATCCATTAGGCTGTGATTTTCAAATACTGTATTTAAATATTTAATAAGAATTTTTGAGAATAAAAACAAATTAATATATTTTTTGCCCATTAAAAGTTAAAGGGGGAAATGGTGTGGTATGTTATTATTTACCAAACTTGGAAAGTTCTTGAAGGTTTGGTTTAATAATGTGGCAATGAATATTTAAGATAATTTTTTATTAAGTTCATTATTAGAGGAAAAAACTTGTAAAATGTTTGAATTATTATAAGAATAAACACTGTAAGTGTTTCATGGATGGATAATTATTGATTTATCACAGATAATGTAAAACTAAACTGTTTATCGATAATGAAATGTGTGTTGACTACAGGTTAACACCCGTTCAACAACATTGAAGCTAACTTTGTGTGATAGTGGTTTAAAAACTTTGTTGGAAATTAAAGCTTTAACCACAATTTGATTGTATTGAGACATTTGAAATATGTAATCAAATTTTGATGGTATTGAATTAAAATGTTTCACCACATTTGGTGATAATGAAACATTTAAGATGTTTAACCACATTTTGAGTTTCTTGAAATATTAATTAACATTTTGGTTATTAAAACATTTAAGAAACTAGCAGTTGTAGTCAAGTTGCTTGTTGACTTAACTCATTCACTAGATGGCCAATCAGCACAAACTTTTTCTTCCCTGAATTCCTTCTCACTCATTGTCAGTACTTGCCTCTGCAGGTAAGTATGCTGCTTTTAAGCACTTTCTTGTGAATTAACTGTATTTAATAGGCAAATAGTTGTTGTGTGTTCTGGTTTGTATGAGCTATAAGAAAGATTATGAATAATTTTTAAATGATAGAATTTTAGGAGTGGGAGATAACAAACAGTATTTACAATTTTTTTTTCCTACTGTGAAAGCAATGAAGCTGTGTAATATATTTTCAATAAGTGTAAATAATAAATCCATTACTCATAAGATAAAAAAATGTGTTGTTTATATATAAAAAAATAGATATACTGCTTTATCTTCTTAAAATTTGTATCTTTGATGTTCAACTTTGAAATTTATATGAATAAAATATATAGAAGTGTATTTCATGCACCCCCTCTTCAAAATTTTTAGTTTTAAATTAGTTGATTATTGGTGTTAAAAGAGTTTTGATTTGAATATAATTTGTTAACAGGAGTAAAGACTCTCAGTGCTAACTTTTGTCCACAGGAATATGTCCGTCTTCTCCAAGGTTGGTGTGAGTGGAACAACTGCTCTCGTCAGTTTCTCCTTGCTAACTGCTACCTGAATATGGGGGAGCCATTAAAAGCTGTTGACCTTTTCAGTCAAGCCTCGGAGGGTGTTGCACGTGAAGACTTTTTGAGATATAAACTACTACAGGCATCTGAAGATGCTAGTACTGAAAGTTTGGTTGTCCAGTACTACCTGAAAGTGAGTAGCTAATACTGATGGATTGCAAGTATCTTGTAATGTTTTTGAGATATAAATTACTACAGGCATCTGAAGATGCTAGTACTGAAAGTGTGGTTGTCCAGTACTACCTGAAAGTAAGTAGCTAATACTGATGGATTGCAAGTATCTTGTAATGTTTTTGAGATACAAATTACTACAGGCATCTGAAGATGCTAGTACTGAAAGTGTGGTTGTCCAGTACTACCTGAAAGTGAGTAGCTAATACTGATGGATTGCAAGTATCTTGTAATGTTTTTCTCTTGCCATTGAGACAGAACATATTTGTTGCATTTAAACATAAACATGCCTCATAAATAAACACTGTTATACCATAGTAACAGAACAGCTACCTTAATGATTTTTTTATTTGTTTCTAAGCTGTTTTGATCAATGTTCTTGTACTAAATTTAATTTTTCAATTAAAGCAGCCTTAGTTAAAGGAATTGTGACTTTATCATTATGTATATATTTCATTTTGATGTACCTCTAAGCCATGTATTATGAGCATACAAAATAACATTGTGGAACTTAAGGATTAAACAGTTTGAAAATATATTTGTTGCTTTCAGGTTGTTCAGCTGCTTGAATGTTTCGGTCTGTATGACTGTATTGTTACCATAGCAACAAATGCTCTCACTGCTGCTGAGAAGGATGATCCAAACATTGTAGGTTTCTGTTGTTTATTATTTTTAACAAACTAAAAGGAGATTTCTTCATGAATATATTGAGTATTTGTTTTGAATAGTCCGTGTGCAAAGTGATTTTAATCTTAATATGAAAATCACTTTTCTTCATCTCAAAAATCTTAAATTTAATTTATGTGATCTCTAAAACCTCTGTTTGTTTTCAGTAAAACTTTTTATGTTATCTGTTATTTTCTCTACTCTAACTCTACACAAGGTTGGTCAATCTGACCGACCTCTTAGCCACCAAAAAAAAATCAAAATAAGTCTAAATTATCATTTTTTTCTTTCTAGAATGATTTCAAATTGTAACATGAAACCACATTTGTTTATCCTAAGTAGCTTTAAACTCTTAATATTATACATCTATTTATACTTAAATTTTATAGTTTTAGTGCCCTTTGTGTCAAACTACTATTCACATCATTATAAGTTGTAAATTACTTGGGAAACGTGCAGCTCACATTATGCTATTGAATTACATTACCCTTCAGCTACTCGCATGCATGCCTCATGAAACATTTTTGTTGTATTATTATTATTTATTTTACCTAATCTAACCTTAAATAACCTAAAGAGATCCCTGTTTTTACATTTTAGTTACTTTAATAATAATAAATAAAGAATAAACATAATAAACAAGAGATAAAGTACTTACCCAGGTCTTCTTTTTTTTTGTCGACTGTCGATGACACTTAATCCTACTTTTTTATACTTTTGGCAGAATTTACTAAATATTTTTATTTAATTATATAATGCACCAAAGAACATAGAATAGTAATATGCAAAAATCAGACAATTTCCTCTAACTATCACAATTTTTATGGCTTTCTAACCATGGGACAAGAGTCATTACAAATTCATCCAAGCGAGTCATTATCTTTCCCATGGGAACAAAGCTTGTACTAACAGAGAAACTGATAATTTTCTGTTCAAAACACAATGTAATATAATACATCATTTGATAGATGAAAACCGTGGCCTTTTACTGGTTATGGATAATATTGAATTAAACATAAAAGAGATTTATAGTAAATAATTTGTTAAATTTCATACTTATTGAATGGGTGGTTAATAAAATAGAGAAGAGAGGATACCTAGAGAAATAGTGTCACCTTTCTCACAATTGGGGGAAATTCAGAATTTTTTAGAATATTGCCTCATATAATTAAGATCTTAAAACTTGTATACTATTAAGATATGGATTATTAGGTACTTTTTTATGCTGTACTAATTGGTATAATATAAAAGTAATTTAATAAAATTTGTAATATAAGCCACTAAAACCTCGTGACATGTGCAGTACACGATGCCCTGGCAGAGAGGGTTAAGAAGTGAGGGGATGAACTGTCATAGAGTGTCTTTAGTTGTTAGATAAAATCTAGGTTATTGTGATAAAAAATATATATATCAAAAACTGGATGTCAAATTGAAATCAGATTACAGGAAAATAGGTGGAGTTCACCCTAGCCTCCTGGATCCAAGGCCACCACCAACTAAGACAAAAATAATACAAAAACTAGATGTCACATTGAAAAAAACCTATGTTTCCAACTATGTCACTATGATAACAATATTTTAGTAATTTCTGATGAACCTGTTATAATTTTTCATTAACATGTTCTTATGGCTTGTTCTCTCATAAATACGTGCTAGATCATTTAAGGAAAAAAAAATTCACTGTAATTAATTTATGTTTGTTATAAATATTAGAATTAGAATTTTATATATTATTTACTCGCTGATTGTGTTTGTCTGTTGTTTAAGCTGTAGTTAATAAATGGAATCGAATTGTGTTCGACTTGTTTATGAAATTCATCTTTGATAATCCCCAGGCCTCCATGTCCTTTATCTGACTCTGATTCGGAGGTATGATTTTTGACTGTTACACATTCTGTAGTTACATAAAAATGGGTTGTTATGATGATGCTATATTTCTACAATTTGTTACCATAGTAATGGTACCAGACAAATATTGTTGATTTCTGCATATATTGCAAAACTTTTACAGGTTGTCCATAGTTATTAGATTTCTATGGTTGCATTATATTTTTACTGATGTTAGGCATATATTCTTGACTGATGATATTTTTACTGGTGAAACTGTGGTTGTAGTCAATGAAATATGTGTACAAATGTACATGTCTTGACTTTCCTTAGTTCCGTAATTAAGAGTAGTTTGTATGAACAAAATGTAAATCAAAAGAAATATCTCAAGGTGAGGCAACAGTACATGATTATTGAAGGCTGGCTGGTGGAATACAATGATAACTCGCAAAGACTACCCTCCAATTTTGAGGCATGAGGTTTATTTTCTTTTTTTGTGATTTTCAAAAGTTCTTGTGTACGTGGTACCACAGGTTGGGAACCACTGCTTTATAACATACTGGTTCAACTGATCAAGTGTACAACTTTTTATCGAGTGTCCTTGAAGAAAATTGTTTTTTTCCCCCAGTGAATTTCCTCATAAGAAATGACCAAGCTTGTTTAGTGAAATGTTCTGTATTTTCATACCTCTTTTAGGGTCAAATGTGGACCAGTGGTTAACATGCCAGATTGAACCTGCAGGTCCATTATTCATGATCCATTACGAGGAAAAAAAAATACCAAAAATCTTGTTCTGTATTTGGGGATTTGGATGCAATCTAGTGATGACAGTCAAATCCTACTATTTGGTACTTTTCATCTAGTGTATTAGTTCAAAATTAGAATCAACTAGTGCAGATAGCGCTTCAGTAGCTTTTGCACAGATATTTGAAAAACAAACATATTTGATATACTTAATCGCACATATCTTGTAACATATTTCAGTTTCATTTCTTGAATTTTGAGTAAAATATGTTCAGTAGAGTTGAATTTACTTTTCACTAATGTGATTTAGTAATGTACTTTAACAAGCATTTTATATTTTAAAGTATAGTGTATAATGTTAACAAGTGATAAATTCTTATACATAATGTGTTAAAAATAATGGGAAAATTTTAAGTAATTTGTATTGTTCAATCATTTTTGATGCAGGGCGATATTTATCTGTGTGTTTTTATTTTTTATTAGCCAACACTGTGGTCTCTGATATTTAAATACCAGTTGGAATTAGGACGGAATGAAGAAGCTTACACTGCCATGACCTCTAACCCTGATATATCGAGGTTAGCATTAAAAAAAATAATAACAGATCAATTGTGATTATATTAACCATCAAATCTCTTTAATCTTGCTTAAGCATAAAGTCTCCCGGTGGAACATTGTAAGTATATGGACTTAGAGTGCTAAAATCTGGGATTTGATTCCTCACGGTGAACACAGCATATAACCCAATGTAGCTTTGTTCTCAAACAAATACTTAAGCATAAAATATGTATTTAGGATAATTTAACTTTTTATTATTTTCATTTGATAGACTGACTTGACTGAATGTGGGATTAGATATCACCTAATATTTTACATGCTAATTATTACATAAAAATGGGTTGTTATGGTGAAGCTATATTTCTACAACTTGTTGAGTTATGAAACTTTTATAGGTTGTCTGTAGTTATTAGTTTGCTAGAGAAAGAAAGAAAGTGCAGATACACGAATTTTAAAAGTAGTTTCTTTGTTCTGGCATGGATGTCATGCTATAAATTAAGTAAATGGCCACTGTGTCATGCTAAATTAAGCAGCATGCAAACTGATAATGTGTTAACAACAAAGTTGCATGAGAGCTCAGTAGGTTTAAGAACAGTTGTCATGTTTTATTTAAAATATTTTTCAACTAAGAAAATGTCCAGCTGTACTTAAAAAGAATTTGCTGTTGAAGGTTAGGCTTAAGGGAGGTTTCAGGAGTAATGTAAACTATTTTTTCTAATTAGCGTGGGAATTATTTCACTGTTTTTCATTCCAGGAGGAAAGACTGCTTGCGTCAATTTCTTGTGGTGTTATGTGAACGAAAACAATTAAAGGCACTTGTGGAATTCCCATACATTGATATGCAGGAAGACCTGATAACCATATTGGAATCTCGGGCTAGAGCATCTGATCTTTTGGCTCATAACTATTATGATCTTTTGTATTCCTTCCATATTCAGTGTAACAATTTCAGAAGAGGTAGGTTCTTATATATATGAAAAGACATTCTCACTTTGTGAATTATTGTGGAGATGAAGATATGAACTTAACTCTTGAATATTTTTTATCCATCGGTTTAACTTTGAAATTTTTCTTTATGATATAAATATGTACCAAGATGATTCTGATTCTTTAACTCTTTCAGCATGGACTCGGTTCATGGGACCAACCTTGTAATCATTTTGTGCTTGTTATAGTTTTTATCATATTTTTTTATTAAGTCTTAAGGTTTGTAAAGCAAAGTTTTTCTCATGCCTTTTTTTTTTCTTTTTACATGTTGCCTATCTAACTCGCAAAGTAATTTTAATTTTAAGATTAAAAATAATTTTATGGATCAGAAAAATTTCAAATTTCACATGTGAAATTTTTATAATGTCCAGATAGTTATCAAATGTTTCTTAAGAACAAACTTTAAATTTTATCTGTTATTTTTCAGTAATTAATCTCTGTACAGGTTCAGTAGATTTGATCATTCTTGTAATCACCATAAAAAATTAGGAAATAAATATAACTTATGCCTCTTTCATTCTAGAATGAACACAAACTATAACAAGAAAACATAAATGTTTAAACTAAATAGTATAAATCTCATAACATTATACATTTATATATATTTACTAAATTGACCTTTCAGCCATGCCTGGCTAAAAATACAGAAGTTACAATTATGTGGCACATGTGCACTCATGTTACCATATCCAATAACATAAAACTGACCTTTGCTCTGTACAAAGTAACTTGCCATGGCTGTTTTAGTAGACTAGTATTTTGTAAAATACAGTCACATTTCAATTATTATACATTATATATGTATGTAGATTATTACTATTTTGAAATACGTTCTTAAACATATTTTTCTTAAAACATAGAACACTAAATAAAGAAGTAAAACCGAGAAAGCCACTAGGGGACATTCTGAGCTTCTGACTGGTTATTCATGTCATATATAGAAGTAAGCGTATATAAGGGAGTGTTTCCAAAAATGAAAAGAGATGGACGGAGTGCCACTGTGTTTGATTTATTATATGAGCAATATCTTAGCAAATAAAAAAGATATGAGCTCTTGTTTTATATTCTAGCTTGTCAATATCAGTAATTTGAGTTTCTAATTCATATGAAACTATAATCTTAGTATTTTGACTTCACAAACATCTAATTTGAACCAGTGCTGTATTTAACATACCACATGACACACAAAAATCGATGTTTATCTGTTTTTTAATATTTGCTTTTAAATTAAGAAATTGAGTAATATAATAGTACTAAAATTTGAATTATAATCTACAGTTTGATACCAAAGTTATTGACATAAATTCATGTTCAATAAAATTTTGAATGCATGTCAACAAATGAGATGACACAGCCTTTCAACCGTGACCCGTCTCGAAAGGGTTAATACCCAAACAAAGACAATAGTATGGAGCCAGATAAGATTTTTTTTCTCTCCATTGATGGTGATAAGCCTGAGGCTTTTGACATTTGTATAGGTTGTAGTGTACTTTTGTTGTAGTGTTATTGACTAAAGTTTCACAAACTAAAATTAACAATTGTTGAAAGTAGGTCCATGCTGCTCATAGTCTTTAGAAGATGGTAGACACACTGTTTTTACCATTTAGGAGGTGATTAAACACACACTGTTTTTACCACTTAGGATATAGTAGACATGCACTGTTTTTATTCTTTAGGAGGTGGTAGACATATAGTTTTTACCATTTAGGATACAGTAGACACAAACACTTTTTACATAATCAACTCCTAAATGGTAAAAACAGTGTATGTTTAATCACCTCCTAAATGGTAAAAAAAGCTTCGACCTAACCATATCCTAAAGGACACGCACTATTTTTACCATTTAGGAGGTGATTAGACACGCACTATTTTTACCATTTAGGAGGTGATTAGAGACAAGCTGTTTTTACACTTTAAGAGGTGGTAGACAATTTTTACCAATTAGGATACAGTAGACACAAATTGTTTTTACCCTTTAGGATACTGTAAATGCAAATTGTTTTTTACACTTTAGGATACAGTAGACACATTATTTTTGAACTTAAGGATATGGTAGACATACTGATTTTACACTTTGCAGTTGATACAGATTGTTTTTACTCTTTAGGATACGTTGGACACAAGAGAAGGTAGAAACCTCGTTAGTAAACATAGGTTTTTACTCCCGGTACAACTGAAAGTTGCTGCTGTTAGCTGTATAAAAAAGTGTTAATGTTAGTGCTTTGTTTTCCTCAGGTGCAAGCACTATGTATGAATATGCTATGCGATTGGGTCGAGAAGTGGTAGGAACTCAGGCTCTCATGAAACAGGCATGGTGCTATCTCACAGCCTTAAGTTGTCTCCGACTGGTTGACCCGAAGTTTGCTTGGATTGTGAAACCTGTTCCTTCTAACAAGCTTGTAAGTGTTTAATATTTGATCAGTTAGGGGGAGTGGCTCTAAATGTGGAATTTAGATTTTGTCATATAGATTGTGTATCTTGCTATGATATGTTTTATATTTAAACAACTGCATGACCCAAAGTTTGCTTGGATTGTGAAATCTGTGCCTTCTAACTAGCTTGTGCTGAGCATTTTCCTAATGTTTTTATGTTGCTGTTCTAATTAAAGTTTTGTAGGACATTCTGACGTGAGATTGAATCCATCTTTACATGTAAAAAACAAAATATGTTATTGATTAGTAAAATAGACGTGTATAACAATATGTCAACCACACTGTATCTGCCATTTCTGGTGTCAACAAGGATTTTTTGCCTGTTACCACAGCTATTCAGGCCGGCTGGGATACAGTAGTAGATGAAATACTATTTATATTAGTAGATTGCCTAACAGCAATTGTTATAGTGTTAACTGGATTAAGTTGGGGAAATGTTTTTTTTTTTATGTCACAATACATCAGGGTAGAGATCTTTTACATTATATTACATATTTATTATTGATTGTCATTTTCTTGAATTAACCTGCTTATCAGTCTGAAGAACTGGTGAATATATTAAAGAAAGAACTTGGATAAAGGTATAAGATTTTCAAAAACGTTTGTCAAGTGTAGTAATGCATTCCATCATGATACTGTCATAACTTTCAAGATTTCTACTAAAAAAAGAGAAAACTATGTATTCTAATTGTAAGTAAGTAGTGACAGAGCCTGCAACATATAATATGAATGTGTGATTGTTTTATGGTGCTTGGTTTGTAAGGTGATCTTTCAAACATTGTGTGTTATGTAAGCAGATAATAGTGAAGTTAAAAACTAGTTATTATAATATTGAAATTAATAAATAATACAGCAATAACAAATCTATACCCTAACAATTTTATAATTATTATTTTTTTTGATAAATGTAGATGGATTCTGAAGCTGCTCATGGGATGTCTCCAAAGAGGACGTCTGATGGTGAAGAAATTCTTAATAAATGTAAGAAGTTTACAGGAAACAAATGCAACTAATAAACATATCTTAAAAGTGTAATTAACATAAAACGAATTCATTCTTCGTGGTCTACCTAAAGTCAATTTCTGTTATGTATCAGTTCACTGGATAAGAGAAATTGAAGCACATGAGGATAATTTGTTTTTTTCATTAAGAGGCTGAAACTTATTTAAATTTAAATAATATTCCTCCATTAATCTTTGCCTGATACTCAAAATAGACCCTTTATGTGTGTGTGTATATATATGTATACACACACACACACATATACTAAGTGTCATTGTGTGGTTACAGTTTTGTTCAAATGTGGGTCTTTTGTTTGAGTAGGTTATTCTGTCATATATACTGTATAATATTTTTGAGTTGGTAAGAATAATGCACTTTAAGGGACATTTTTGGGGGGAGGTTGTTTTCCACAACGGTTGTTCAAGAGGGGTTGCTCCTTTGGGAAGGATAAGCCTTTCTTACCCATGCTGCCTCTGATCAAACATTGGGTTTGTTCTAACTTTAGTATCCATGACTTTGTATTTTTAACTTTACTTGTCGCTATAAGCTTTTAATATCTAATTTAAATCACAACATAGACAGTATCTTCTGTATTATATAAAAATACACAGCACCACAATCAGCCTTCACACCTGTGTTTACACTTAATTAAATGGGTACACGAGTATCTTTTATATTTTCTTCGATATCAGGCTCTGTATTTTATTCTATAAACTAAGACTTACCGAGTGTTTTCCACCACTACAACAGCAATAAAGAGACGTATTGAAGTGTTAGAACTGGCAGACATCAAGCGAGAGTATGATTTAGTCCATTCTCGTCTCCAACTCATTCAGAAGGATCCTAACTCTGTCCATACAGCTGCTGTTCCTCTGTCAGCTAGTGAAACAGTTGCTCTACTTGTTGGAGGAGGATTATTTGATGCTGCTATCCATGTGTGTCAGGCCTTTGATCTTTCCCTTGCTCCTGTGTTTGAAGGCCTTGCATCACGGTAAATTGATATCTTTATTTTGCAATACCAAAATATTTAATAATAACATTCGTTTTATGATGTTGATCTTTTCTATACCAGATAAATCTCTGGTAAATTATTTCTGAAGCTTTCATGTTTTAAAGATTCCAGAATCAAATCATATTTGACATAACTTGCTAAACTCATTTTCTTTTTATGTCTAGTATTTCCAAATGCATCGGTTTACATTTTATGTAAAACCGTTTTAAATAACATATATATTGTTAAATGTTACCAGCCAGCAAACATAATTAACTTGATAGACTTAGAGTTCAGCTAATTAAATAAAATAACAGTTTTTAAAAAAAATTCTCTTGTTTGGTAATAGAAACTTAGACCTAAGGTGTGTTTTATAGAAAGAATGCCAATAGTTTGTCAACAAAAATTTCTCTTGTTTAGTAATAGAAACCTAAGGTGTAAGTGTTTTATAGAAAGAATGCCAATAGTTTGTCAACAAAAATTTCT